ATTTAGACAAAATAAATATTATAACGCAATTCTTTCCGTCAATTTAATATTTATCCATAGAATTTTTTTTTTATTGACGTTCCAGCGTATCGTATACAATATACATAGAGTTCCGTTTATGATACGTTCATAGTTACTTATTCATATCTAAATGGATAACTTTTAATTATCTGTTCCAAAATCAAATCAAACGTTGATCTTAGCGGAAAATAAAGGATATCAAAAACCCGGTACCTAACTATATATATATAATAAAACCGTTGGATTCAAACGTAACTTAAAACATAATTTTTGAGTTCTTTTTTTAAAGTTTTGTTAAAACTTATTAGTATTACTATTTAAACACCAATTTTAATGCTTCATATTTGCGGTACTTTTAATGTTTGTTAGAAAAAAAATATTCTGCATATCAAACATTGTGTTGTACTTAAATTTATCGTTTAGGTGATTAATAATTATAATCCACTTCAAAATCATCGTATACTAATAAACGCGTACTTACTCTGTTAGCAGAACTATAACTTGATAAAGTAAGGACACTTTCAATAACTGTATTAATTTATTATCGCAATTCACTGTAGAACAAGTAGGTACGCAGCAGCAATGTAGATATCGAACGGAGCGTGTGGGCAAACTAAAGGATGTATCGCGATAGTGCTCGCCCGCGCATTGCTTTGGCCTGGAGAGAAATTCCATCGGTATTTTTAGTTTGACGTCATGCACGTTGTTATGGTTTCACACTCTGCTAGGCCAAACGAACGCCGACTCATACGTTTCACAATTTACGCCTCACTCAGTGACCGCTTTGTGTTTAGTTCATTTCTTGTCGATCATAAATGAGATTATTGTTTTAAGCAAATGCAAAGTTCCTGAAAAATACTTATCAAAACCAAATGGTAATCCATAAAATCAGATTACATTGAAAGATCATTACAACAATTAAACAATTGTTATGGTAAGCTGATCATAGGATAACAGATGTCGAAAAACAATTTAAAAAAACCCTATCATGTTAGCATAATATAGGATTATACATATATGTATTAAATAACTTGAAATGTAAATGAAATAACATACAATGTGTCTTATTCTTATAATTACAATAAAATTAATTACATCAATATTATTGACACTCATTGGCTCCATAACTCTACCACACTTCATATTCCAGGCATTTGTAACCTCTAATTCGTTCTTAATAATTTAAGTAATTATTTGCTATGAAGTCTCGTTTTTAATATTAAAAAAATTAGGCCCAAGTCAAATTAATACTAATGATTCCAATCAATCATTCGAGTTTATATTTGATAATCGAAAAACTTGTTACACATGATTTGTCCCCTTTAAATGAAAGCTTCTGGAGACACTTGCTATCACAATTTTGATAGGAATAATCGACAATGCAACATAGAATATTAAATCACAGTTATATTTGTTCTTTGTTTAAAATTAGTTATAAAATTAGATCATTGACACAGAATTGTAAGGTTGTGAGAAATAAGCATGAGATTTTTTCAAAAGAAAAAAAAGATATGAGAGGAGAGGAAAGTAGGCAGCATTTACGTTTAAGGATTCCTAATACCTATTATCACAACCTCTCAAATCGGTAATTGGGCTCCAAATCAAAAAGGAGTTATGTTAAGGCCTCATCCAATAAGCGTGCCAAATAGTGAAATTTGATTTCTTAAAAGTGGTCCGAATTGGTCAAGAAATGGTCAGTGATTTTTAGCAGTTGGTCAATACTTGTCACTAACTACAGAGAATTCAAAAATAAAATTATTAATTTCAAGGACATCGGAAAAATTTTGGCGGCTCAAATTAATCCTAGAGATCGGATCTCAAATAATTTCAATTGGTCACAATTGGTCAATTAATTTTAATAAGTGGTATATAATAACAGTTACTAACATATAAATTGGATAAATTAACAAAAATCTACATTAACCTTTCCTGAACATAACCCCAATTTTTTGTTGCCTATTGCTAAATACTCTGACCTTTTGCACAGTAATTGTAACAATGCTTTTTTTCTTTGAAAGTAGTTAAAACAATCAAATTGAAGTGCTATGATGGTAGGGACCTCCTTGAGATTTTAAACTCCAGTGACTATTTTTAGACTGTTGTAATTGTGTATTACATAACTTTCTAGTATCTTTGCTTTTTGTTAATTTTATAATTAATGTGTAAAGAACAATTACCAATTATCAATATTAATTGACCGATTGTGATCATTTTGTGACGAATTGAAATTATTTGAGATCCGATCTCTAAAATTAATTTGAGTCGCCAAACTTTTTCCGACGACCTTGGAATTTTAAACTCGCTGTAGTTAGTATCAAAGTATCCACCAATTGCTAAATGTTACTGACCATTTTGTACCACTTGTAAGAAGTCAAATTTCATAATTTGGGCCATTTTTTATATGGGGCTTTATGTTAATGTTTAGAAAAATCTACATATATTATGGCGTACATTGTTCAAAATATCAAATCTCACAGGTTCATGCAGTCTAGTTGTAAATAAATACTTAAACATAGTCCCATTGTTCTATATCTCCCGGTCGGGTGGCGGCGGGTCAGTCGACGGAAACTTCCTTAACGCACTCGATGCACACAACGCGCCACACACTCAGGCGGCGTCCAATTCACTAGCGCACTGGGGGGCGTCCGCGCGGGGCGGCGCGGGCCGCTACCTGCGGCGGCGGCGCCCCTTGCGGTAGCCCTTGCCGTACCAGCCCGCGTCGTCGGGCAGCGGCGAGGGGGGCGCGTGGGGCGCGTGGGGCGCGAGGGGCGCGAGGGGCGAGGGGGGCGCGTGCGGCGCGGGGCAGCAGGCGCACAGGTAGCGGCGGCCGCGCACCTTGCGGGCGGCGCGCGGCGCGCCGGCGTCGGGCGGGGCGCCGTACCAGAGGCAGCGGCGCGCGCCGAGGCGGCGCTCGCACCAGGCGCAGCCGCGCTCGCCCGCCAGGATGGTGTGCAGCCCGGGGTAGAGCGAGGCGCGGCAGAGCAGCACGGCGCGCCGGATGAAGGCGGCCGCCGCCTCGTCCGCCTCGCGCGCCTCCGCGCCCGCGCGCACCGGCAGTTGCACCTTGCACTTGCGCCCCGCCGCCGCCCTCGGCGCGCACTTCGCTTCCGCGTCGGAGCCCGGGCCCGCCTCGTCCTCGGGCTCCTCCTTCTTGCAGGGCTCGATCTCCAGGAGCCGCCGCAGCTTGGAGCCGCAGGACCGGGCGCCGCCGTCCTCCGCCTCGGGCTCGAGCGGCCCGCTCGTGATGTTGAAGTTCCTGTCGGGGCCGTGGCCGTTGGTGAGCGCGTCGATGCCGTTCCTGGGACAGGCGGGCGAGTACGGGGAGGGCCAGAGAGCCGGGGGTCGATGCATGCGGAAGCGGCGCAGGTCGCCGGTGAGTCCGCGCGGCGCCGGGGGCGGCGGCGGGAGGGGCGGCGGCTCGGGGGGCGGCAGCACGGAGGGCGCGTGCTCGGCCCGCAGCAGGATCGTCGCCTCGCACGATCGCAGGCTCACCTGCAAAAGTAACATACGGATCGGAACATACATCACACTTTCAAAATACGTACAAGGCACAGAGTGATGCACGGAGTGTACCTGAAAGGAATGGAACTCGTCCGTGGGCGACTCGCCGGGCGAGCGGGGCGAGCGGGGCGCGCTGGTGGAGGGCGCGGGCGGGGAAGGGGCTCTCTGGGCGCGCAGGCGGTCGGCCAGGCGGCGCAGCGGCAGGCAGTCGTCCGAGTCGGAGGCGTCCGAGGCGGAGGCGGAGGCGGAGGCGGAGGCGGAGGCGGAGGAGGGCGAGGGCGAGCCGAGCGAGTAGCAGGCGTCCGAGTCGGAGTCGGGGTTGAGTGGCGGCGGCGCGAGCGGCGCGCGGCGCGCCGTGTGGCGCTCGGCGGGCGCCAGCGGCACGGCGTGCGCCAGCAGCGGGTCGCGGCGCGCGCAGTAGCGCGGCACGCGGAGGCGCAGGCGGCGCGCCACGGCCGCCATGACGGTGTCGCAGCGCGCGTTGATCTTGAGCGCCGCCACGGCGTCCTTGGGCGTCCACTGCAGGTTGACGATGTAGAGCGCGGGGCGCGCGTGCGGCGCGCGCTGCATGCGCCACAGGCGTGGGTAGCGGCGCAGCACCTTGAGGCTGGAGCCGAGGCAGAGCACCACGTCGGCGGCGGCCGCGTGGCGCAGCGCGCCCGCCCAGTTGAGCGGCCAGGCGGCGCGGCCGCGCTCGCCGAAGTGCACGATGGAGTCGCGCAGCTCGCGGCCGCACGCGTGGCAGAGGCGGCGCGTGTTGTGCGCGTGGCGCGCCGTGCGCTCGGTGGTGTCGAAGGCGCGCAGGTAGACGCGCCGGCAGGCCGCGCAGTGCTCGGCGAACATGTCGCCGTGCAGCTCGGCGAGCGCGCGCCGCGGCAGGCCGGCGCGCAGGTGCAGCCCGTCGCAGTTCTGCGACACCACGAACTTGAGCGCGCCGCTCGCCCAGAGCGCCGTGAGCGCCATGTGCGTGAAGGTCGGCTGCGCCCGCGCCACCTCGACGCGCCTGCGGAGGAGCGGCGCGTTAGTGCGGTGCCACTCGCCCACTCGCCGGTGCGTGTGCCGCAGCAGGGGAAGAGCGCCCACCCGACGGCCTCGCCGCGCTGCAGCCGCGTCCACACGCCGTGCGGCCCGCGGTAGTCCGGGATGTCTGCCGCGGTGCTGATGCCGGCGCCCGTGTACACCTGCCGCCAACAGAACGCTCGTTCGACTCATTTTATTACAACCAATTATAAACATAAAGTCACAACCACCCAACATTTATTTGCTCATTTTGCGTATTCAGGAGAATATCAACAAAAAGTTTTATAGACACCATGGATGTATACAAATATATATTTATACTTTTAATTAATATCTATACTACTGCTTTGACACTTATCACTTTTGAAAGGAGACACATAGGTGCAAAGCAAAACTCATCTCAACTCCTCTTCATTTTTAATGTACCAAAACATTTCAATTCTGACAATAATTATGAATGGTCCTTTTGACTGATACCAATCAGAATTAAACCGAGCCCAACCTAAAGCCAGTTCCAATATTCTATCTATTAATCAAAATTATAATTCTTGAAGAAGCCGTCTCTTGGCGATTAGTCTCCTTTTTGTGGTACATGGTAAGGTTATAAATGGTTTATTATAGTCTAAACGAATGATATATTAACACTTATATTATACAGCTTGTCTTTACAATCGCGACAACAAATGAACACACATATAGAGGATAACTTTTTAAAATTGTATTAAGTATTTACATTCTTTAAACATCAATATTTACCGAGTTATTAAATTTTACAAAACAAACATTTTTAGAACACCCTTATGTATAAAACTGTAACGTAAAGTTCATTTGTAAAGGTCACAAAGCATATGAATGGGTTGAATGAATTTAAAAGAGATAAAACATACTGTTAGAAGGAGAGACTTGTAATGTGACTTTGTGGCAACGAATAAATAAGTCTCTGTATGTATGAATCAGTCAGTTGTAGTTGTATAGGTGTTACAAATTTTGTTTCATTTTTATTTAATCAGTTTGTTTGAAAAATATATATTTTTAACTATGGATTTTTAACTTTTTATATTTTTTTATGATTATTGGCAAGTAGCGTTAGACGTGTGTTCATTTATTGCCTCGGTTGATATGACATGCTGTATATGTTTAAAATATTATAATTAAAAAATAAAATTGATTATTCAATAAAGTATTAATATTAGCTCAGGTCAAAAGGATCGCTAGTAGCCAAATCTACAGATGGATAGAATATTGAAAACCGCCATTCGACACCTTCAACTAGAAGGCAAAGATTGTGTATAGGAACACCATCCAACTGTGTGGAATACCCTACTGGGAGATCCCGAGCTATATTATTAAAAAACTTAAACCTCAGGAGATAAAATAAGCAATAAAATTTTAAAAGCCCTCCTTGGGTCGCTTATCTGTTTGTTGGCAAGCACCAATGAAATTTTTAATTGCAATTTTAAGGGCTGATTTATTATTTGCTCATTGGTGAAGAACATCTCGAGGAAACCTGCATATTTTTAAAATAACAAAAAAATATTTGTGAACCCAATCTGCAGTGACCCTGTGAACAGAGGAGGCCTATGCTAAGCTGAGAAAGATATGTGACCTGTTCTTTTGATTACAAGAACAAATGCAACAAGTGTTATGCCCTATCATAACACTTGTGACAAAACTTTAGTCACAAATTCTAATTTGATTTATACTAAGGTAAATGAATTATAAAATAAACGAATCACATATTAAATTATAATCATGTATCATCTCAGAGCACAGAGTGTTCTGAGGGCTAAGCTATATTAATGAACATCAAATATTTTCGCAATCACTGTAATATGTTAAATATTTTCTATTATGTTAATTATGGAGCACAAAACAATTCACAATCAAAATATACTGTAGGGAATGGTGAGAGAAACATAACATTAATGACGGCATTGTTTGGTTAAGAAACAGTTTACAATTTGTTGATTCTGCAGTTGCAATATGGTTTTTTTCTGTTGCTTTTGATTACAAGTAAAGAGAACTGAAATTTTATTGTAAATTGCTTCTTTGTCAGTCACAATAATTGGGTTTTTAGAGTTCCATACGCAAAGCGAAAAATAGGATCCTATTACTAAGAAACGTCTGTCTGTCTGTAATAGTTAGACACTTGAAATTTTCACAGATGACGTATTTCTGTTGCATCAATAAGAAATACTATAAAACAGAATAAAAAAATATTAAAGTGGGGCTCAGACACACAATAGACATCTTTTTTGCCGTTTTTATAGATCGCGCCTCCGACTCGCACGTGGCCGGTTTTCGAATAGTCAATTTTAATCCTATCTCAGTGCAACCTTTTCTTGGTAATCACTTGTATTTACTTATAACTAATGAAAATGAAACTATTTTTACAAATTTATCACATTTATTTTGACTTATAACATAAAAGATCAAACTAGACTGCAGTCTGTGAGCACACCTTAAATCTTCCTAAACACTATATCAGGTTTGATAGACCAGAGATCCTTGCAAAACTACACCTTACTTTCAATTAAAATGAGGGTTTTGTACTACCAGCTTGGGATTATATCTTCTAATATATAAAATTCTTGTGTCACGGTGTTTGTAATTGAACTCCTCCGAAACGGCTCGACAGATTTTCGTGAAATTTTGTGTGCATATCGGCCAGGGTGATGAATCGGACATCTATTTTTCATCTCCCTAAATGTTAACGGTGGTCCACCCCAAACATTTTTTCCTACCCTAAACATAATTTATTTGGCTAAACAATGTTTGTCGGGTCAGCTAGTCTATGTATATTATAAAAATGTAACAGATCGTTTTCTATACATATATAGCGTGGCGTTACAACCGCGACAATAAATGAATACATGTCTAATGCTACTTACCAATAATCAATTCGTGTTAGTTTTATTTACATTGGTTCATAAATAAAAAAAGTTATATTATCTTAAAGACCCACATTGAAGATTAATGCGATAAAATATTATATAAGCTACACTTAAATTGGATGAAACTATAATTAACTATTATGGTCTATAAAATGACGATAATTGTAAGTGTATATGAAGTGAAAGAAAATCGTGAGTTTGACTCGCGTTTGTAGGGTTCCGTAGGTACTTTATAAGCATGATATAAAACACAGTATATGCGGGCGGAGTTGCGGGCGAAAAGCTAGTCATGAATAAATTTAATAAAAATAAAAAGTTTCCCTATTTAGGAAAATTGCGTGGACAGAGGAGTATGAAATTTCTCACACTTATAGTTTATATAAAGAGAGAGTGTAGAATGCTAATATTTTTTTAATTATTCATAACTTTAAATATATAATTAAATCAATGTAGAAAACATTACACCCACTACTATGTATTTGACACACACACACACATACTCTTTTGTTTATTGTGTATTGTATTTGAGAATAGATTGATATTGTTCAAACTTATAATACTCAATGTACTTGTTTAATCCTGTATATTTAGATTTTTATTGTATTTTGTAGATGGTAGTGCTAATAGTGAAATTTGGAATGAAATATAAGCATTTAAAAAATTATTCGTCTTAATGCTGTAGTATTCATGTATTTTTAAGAAACCAATTATAGCAATTATAGTACTGCAAACCAATAGGGTGAGCAGAGACATTTTGTGATTCAGCATTGATGTAAACATACTTGAACAAAAACTTTTTCATACTGCAAAGTCAGCATTTTTGTTTCAACATTAAGTGATAGTGCTCACCACCAGGTGCTTGGCGTCGCGCAGGGCCCGCGCCAGGCGGCGGCACTTGTCGCGCAGCACGCGCGGGCTGTCCTCGACCTCGCGCGCGCGCTCCTTGGCCCTGGCGCGGCGCTCCTGCGCCTTGGCGCGCGCCTCCGCCGCCTCCGCGCTGCGCTGCTCCGCCGCCAGGGCCGCCAGGGCCGCCGCGGGCCGCGCCTCTCCGGCGCCGCCGCTCAGCCGCGCGCTGCTCCGCACGCCCCTGCCCATGCCGATCGCCGCCGCTACTGTTTGCCAGATGTCCGCTCTCCGCTCGTTCCGCCGAGCCGTCGCATTTCGCCCGCTGCTCACATGCGCTCTCCGCCGATTTAACTATACGTTCCTTATCACACGGCCACGACTTGGTGTCACGATTCCCGTCTATTATTGTATTTTATTTATTCTGTGAGGTGAATCTGTCAAAATGTCAAGTTTCCAGTCTCCTCTCGACGCACCGTAAGGATGTGCCATGATGCAAATCGATTGCGACAGCTTAAATTAAATATTTATTTTACCGGTACAAGTTTTTATATTGTTTTATATTTTTACTGTAAATAAATAAATAAATATTTACCAAACATTTTCACACAACGTTCTCTAGTCCCAAAGTAAGCAAAGCTTGTACTATGGTTACTAGATAACTGATAAACATACTTAAACGTACTTTTCTTTTGTAAATGCATGTATTTACATATTATAGATATATAAACACACAGACACTAGAAAAACACTATTTTCATCACACAATATTTTTCCAGTAGTGGGGATCGAACCCACACCCTCTGGCGCAGGAGGCAGGTACACTACCCACTACGCCATTCGGGTCGTCGAATAAAAAACAAATATAATAATACGTTTGTTTTAGACCTGTGACTGTGACTTTCACAGCTACGTTGTAAAAGGTCCTTTTGTTTTAAAAAAAAAAAGGGTGTGCCAGACTCGATCCCAATAGCCCTCACATTAATATCCGTTAAAAATCGGCTTGGACCGTACTCATGGAAGAGCCCCGGAACAGTTGTTCGCTGTTGTTTGAATAGGCAGGTCAGATTATACACTTATATACTGAGAGGCAGGTCCGTACGGGTCAACCTCACGACCTGATTATCGTCTCTCATTTTTCACTGTTAGTGTTTGTCTGTTCTCTATCGTTTCATGGCATATACTTTTTGAGTAGGCTGTTTGAAGTTAACTGTTTGATTTTAGGCTCAATGTATTTATTTTAAGCGTTATTCAATTAATTTCGTGATAGCGCAGTATCCGGGCGCTCGCTTTTAATTCAATATAGTTCAAATCCCGGAACCAGCATCAATGAAATTGTAAATTGAAATTTTAAGTTTTGACGGTGATCAGCGGTGAAGGAAAATTTATAAAAAAAAACCTGCAAATTTTCGAAATAATAAAATACACATACATATTTTGAAAATTTGTACTCTGTCGATTCACCGTGGGGTCGCGTGGTGAACTGTGCCCTAATACCCCCAGTACAGAATCCTTTGACGTAAAATATGGATTTTTACTTTTTACTGGTACCTAACATAACATGGAATTATAACTTGATATTTGAAAACGATTGTGATAGCTCAGTGTCCAGGCGTTCGCTTTTCGTTGCAGGTTACCACTTTAAAATTGTTTTAAAACGTATATTAAACGAAAAGAAAGTTGAAACTGATTCTGTTTTGTGTCCAAATATCACTAGATTTATGCGATATTTGTATGTTAATTATTCATGAATAATTCGCGGCTCTGCCCGCATGTACTACGCATGTACTATATTTTATATAAAGTGCTTAAAAATAGTCTTTCTCAATAAATAAGCTATCTAATAGTGCAAGAACGTTTAGCAGACCCAGGGGCGAATCGAACCTAAGGAAGTTGGGTTCAAGGTAATTCTGACAGTACAAAAAATGTGTCATCATTTAATCTATCCAGAGCTGGTGGGTCGAGGAAGACCCACCACGCACTGGCGGAAATATCGTTGGGGGCACATGTTGCGCCGCCGCAAAAGATGATGGTTTTTAATTTTATGTGCCGTAGTCAAGGTGTTATTACATATGACAGATGATATAGGTCTGAGGTTAACGTACACTGGAAGTGTCAAAATTTTTCATTTTTTACTAAGACTCCGCTGTTTGTCTGTCCGTCTGCCACCAAGTCATGAATAATAATTTTTCTGAAATATCTTCTATGATGAAACAACGATCAGTAACATTTTTATTATATGTATAGAAAATCTAACCATAAATATTTGTAATGTCATTGATATTCTGTAAATCTATCATTATTTACAATTCTAAGCACGGGAGGTCCACACTAATGTACCTATTTACACATAACATAAATATAATGGTTTTTATGTATTTCACACAACGTATGTACTAACTATTATCATTTACACACGAACGTAATACATATTAAAATTTAAATGAATCAAAGGCAGTCTGGCACGTGCAACCAAGTTGGTTCAAACTCTCACTGTTTTAAAAAAATATAACAAAAATTAAAACAAATCTCTAAAAAAAATATCAAAGAGAATGTAATCACTACGTTTAAGAGATGGGACTTCCATGGAGACCAAAAATATCAGTTTAGTGTTTACGTGGCACTCCAATACCAAACATACTACAAAAATACCACAAAGATATCAAACAACAGGAGTACCAACGTAACAAGACAAATAGTGCTTAACCAAGCTAGCTTAGCTTCTTATCGATATCGATAAAATATACTAGGTAGAAAGCGAGGTTTCCACTTAATATTTTTTTTATTAATTTTAGGTAAGTATCGAGTCCGTATTTATGTCCAATGTTGATGAGTGGACATTTGGTTCTAATACAAGCTTGGACCTAAATGCGGACCCAAAATAAGATAAAAAACGGGTTATGATAATTCAAATAAAATTTTATTACTGAAATGAAATTTATTTCTTTCTCTTGATTCATCAGCCAACAGCTGTTGTCCTGCTCTACACGAGTCTGGAAATAATTGAAACATACAAATAGAATCAAAATCCAAAAATTATTTTAGTTTTCTTGCATACTCAGCGCACGAAATTAATTATATGACGTATCAATATTACAGAGATTATGTTTCAAAATCCTGCAAAATTCACCTTTTCCGATCCTTGCTCATTTATGTAGGCACACCATTAAAATATGTAAAACTTTGTGACCCTACTCTTTCACACAACATTTTATTTCTTATTTTTTTCAATGATAAACATTAACGTAGTAATCGATATGTGGATATTACAGTTGCAGTACATCACTACCACACAATGATTTAAATTGGTTAATTTTATTTGTTCTTAGCCTTACATATGGCTGCAAAGTATCATATTTAAGTGCTTACATGGGCTTCATCTAAGAGAAATCTCGCCATAAACATCCTTTTTTCAAGGTTCGAATGACTTGCTCGATTTTCACCAATTTCACAGGTAATAAACCGTCTTTTTGGCATTTTGAATTAAAAGTACAACTCTGATCACCTGTCACTAGTTTTCGTGAGAAAGTTTACTGTAAACAATTTACATTTACAATGAAATAAGCATTTACATTCAAAATACGCAGTGCGAAATTAAGTTTTGACAAACAACATGGCACTTCTTGTATTGCAAGAAAGAGAAACCGCTTTGAGGTACATGGCACTTATACTTGTTTTCTCTATTCTGTGGTGTAAACCATGGCTTGCAAACTGCCTTACTGCCTTGTAACTTAAAATCAAAATAGAATCGCTTTGTTTTTTTTTGGCACAAGTTCACTCGTGCGCCCGCTTTACCCCCGCGGGGGTATCAGTAAAATTAATACAGTGGCCGGCAACAGTCAACAATTGCATGTAATTTTTGACGTTGTTCATCTATTTCAACAGAAAAATGCCACTGGACTTGCTGTAGTTTAAATAGTCACTTACCCGGTGCCCGCCACTGGCGACTGTTCTTTTACTCGCCACTCGCCACTATGAAACGAATGTATGGCATGAAATGTGTGAAATGCCATTAAATAAAACGCAGGAACGTGCTCACTGTTATTTGTATTGATCACAAGGATTTTTACATAATTTCACAATCTTTTCACCCTTAAAACAATGTTATTGTTAATAATAATAATAATAATCATCATCATCATCAAATAATAATCCGGTTGTTCCATGCTTTCTAACTCTGAGTATCTGCATAGACACAATACGGCCTCGTGGATCGAAAACTGCCGTACTACAAGTACTCTCCGGAAGCCGTGCTCGAAAATGACCGCGCCAGGCTCTATTGGGACCGGCCCATCATCACGGACAGGACGATTGTCGCGAACAAACCTGATATCGTGGTGATGGACCGGGCACAGTCGCGGGTATTTTTGGTCGACATTACCATTCCATATGACGAAAACCTCGTGAAAGCCGAAACAGATAAGAAGACAAAGTATCTGGACCTGGCTCACGAGGTGACCGACATGTGGAGTGGTGTGCCGACCGAAATTATCCCGATAGTCGTTTCTGCCAATGGGTTAATCCCAGTCAGCCTCTCTAAACATCTGAGGCGACTGGGACTCCGGGACGGATCGCTCCAAGCTCAAATGCAGAAGGCGGTGCTCCTCGATACCGCCCGCATCGTCCACCGGTTTCTCTCCCTTTCGCCCTAACCCTCGGCCGTTTGGTCTCCCCTGCCGAATATCCGTTTGGGTCCTATTTATATATGTATTTATATATATATATATATATATATATATATATATATATATATATATATATATATGTTTATTTTTATCCATAATATTTATTTTATATATGCAATATATATCTACATTTTTATTTTTATTTATAAACCCAACCAGACGAGAAAACAAATGAATATCCTTTTATCTTTATTCCAGACAATATACGAAATTAAGTACATTGTCCATAGTTTTTTAGTATTTGTAAAGAACTATTGCGCGCTAAGTTTAAATTAGACGCAACGGTTGTTTTAATCTGCCACAAATGTTAAAGATGGGCTTAAAGGATTAAACTCCAGGGCCAGGTTGAAACATTAAAGAAAACAATTTTGACATGATGAACAAAACAATTGACATTACAAATAAATTGACAAATGACAACTTCTTTTTAAAAATTTGACAGGTGGGATATGTTCTGTTTATTGGTCTCTTGATATAAATCTTTAAAAATCTTTGAATAAATAAATATTACTTGAGTTATTAGTGATTTTTTCCTAAGCTTGTGAACAGAGTTACTTGAATACAATCATATTTTTAAAAGCCGATAACTTTTTTACAGCTTTGCAAGATCAAGAATTCAACATGGTAAGATTTTTGTTTTTATAAATTAAAAACGAGGTATTTTAAAAACTTCAATTTCATTTTCAAACTTGTAATTTTAATGATAAAATAGCAAGCTATGATTAAACGTATACATTCTTTTCTACAACCAAAATGAAAGCATGTTTTCTGTTTACTTATATATTAAGATATTAATATTTCAGCCACGAGAAATCAAAGACATCAAAGACTTCTTGTTAAAGGCCCGCAGGAAAGACGCTAAATGTAAGTTATACCTACTTTGCTAGTTTAGTTTATTTGTGTTTGTTTTTGAACTAATTTTACTCATTGATTTTGCCAGTGTTACACTAAATAATATCTTTTGCATAAAATATTGTGTAAATTGAAAATAATCTTATTGCCTTTAATTTTTTTGTTAAGAGCTGATGTCAATTCTGTAGTAAAAAAATCGAAGGCAATTTTTTCATGATTGGAACATACACTGACAAATCCTTAGAAATTTTCATTGGTTGGTTGAAAACTGACAAATCCACATCCAAAGATTTATAAGACAGGGGGAAGTTTTATTACTGGGTCAAGATTGGAATTTAAAGAATGTCAAAAATCCTAGAAACATTCCATAAAAATCTAGGAATGTGAGATTTAAAACCAATACATCTAAAAAATATGATTTTATACAAAGTCATATTCATCAGTCTGATCAAAAACCGATAAATCCATTTTGTTTTAATAAATTTCTTATGACACACTGAATACATAAATCTGTGATTTGGATATCAAAACAGTGTTACCAGAACCTATATACAAGTAAACTTTGTTCCTCTTAATTGGAAATCCATGGAAATATGTATTATTTTTAAATTTCCTAAAAAATTGTAAATGTTATATATCGGTTTTTGTTCCGATGCTCTTCATATATTTTATTTATTAGATATTTATAGTATTAGAGCATGAAAATTAAATATATATATATAACACTGACAATAGATGGCGTATTTTATGAAATTAAATTTGACCCAGTCTTCCTCACCTTTTCTTGTTTTAGTGAGTAGTTTTTGCAAGATTTTACTACAGACTGTCATTTTTAGAAAGAAATAAAGAGAAAGGAAGAAAATCTCTTTATTTCACATCACTTAAAAAAAATACATATTCAAAACGTAAACAAAAAATAACCATTGTGACGTCAAATTGGAACTCCATTTCAGCAAAATGCTGCAGTCCTATTTGTACTACAGCGCTGATTTTCAAATGGAGCCTAAAGTTGACTTCACGGGACGAAAATACTACTAAAATTATTATTTACTGTAAGAGAAAAAAATATTAGTAATACAAAAAAAAATAATGATAACAATTAATTACGTTCCTTAACTAGTGGGCTGCAAAGTAAAATATAAAATACAATAAATATAGTAAAAATTTTTAATTTAAATCTAAGCCAAAAATGTGTTAATGAACTCACTGTGGTTTTCTACAAGTACATGCATTTTTCTGCACATTGTAAAATCAAATCGTACTTCTTAAAAAAAATTGCAAAAATATCATATATACAGATATAAAATACAATAAATATAGTAAAAATTTTTAATTTAAATCTAAGCCAAAAATGTGTTAATGAACTCACTGTGGTTTTCTACAAGTACATGCATTTTTCTGCACCCGAAATGGGTCTACCATTGTAAAATCAAATCGTACTTCTTAAAAAAAATTGCAAATCTAAGATTTTTCATATATTATTACAGCTGTAAAAATAAAGAAGAATACAGAGAATGTGAAGTTCAAGGTGCGCTGTTCCCGCTTCTTGTACACCCTCGTCATCACAGACAAGGAGAAGGCGGAGAAACTCAAACAGAGTTTGCCCCCAGGTATGTGCTAATTGATTCTGAGCTCAACAAAAATGGGCTGTTTGGATTACATTCAAGTTTTGTTTAGTATTAAAGCACAGATGAGTGTAGGAGGCTTTTCCTAGGGCTTTTTAAGCTCAATCCAAGTATGTAGATTGTAAAGTTTCGACCTTATCTGTGCATTGTATCGCATGCGTTTGATACAATTTTCAAAAGATCAATCGATTTTTTGAGAAGTGCCCAAATTTACACAGGAGGTTCAGACTCGGTAGTATAATTATTTATTGAAATAAAAAACAAAGTTTTTCTTTCCAAAAAAAAATACCATTCTATTCCCTAAAAAACAGAACGTGTTGAAAATGCGGTAGTCATTCATAAATACCTAAATTTTACTGTGCACAAACTTGTGTGCGTGTTAGTTATGAATGATAGCGCTTAAAATAAATGAGTTGCTTATACCGTATACTCACGCATTTTTTGAGATAAGTTCAAATGAATGTAATTATTTACTTACGAGTGATTTTAAATATTTATCATTTTTAAATAACATCATTTATGTCTAGAATTTAATAAAAAAAAAAATGGATATATACATGTACTTCATCACGTTTGTGTAAACAATAATGTATTGACCGTAATCCGATATTGGATCACATGGTTACAATCCGATCCGAAAATCAATAGGGTACTTGACTCTTTACAAAGTACGAACAACTTGCAACAATCTCTTCAGATTTTTCTTCAATTATTGGCATAGTATTAACACAGGAACAACATGCAACTGGCTAATTAATTTGATTTTCATGTTTAGGTGGGCCATTTTCTTTACAATCGCTTTTTATGACAGTTTTTGATTTTTTTCCTTTACCTTTTCCTTTAGTGACTCTATTATTATTTTCTGTTTTATTTCCTGTTTCTTCTTTCCTTTTGGGACTGAACAAGGTGCATATCCTGGGTCAGTCTAAATATAATCTTCATCACCCGAACACAATAAACTTTTTCCTGCCTGAACCTGAAGCTTCTTCTTTTAGGGTTCAACTATATTGATCGTCCCATATCGCATTTCTTTCAAATAATCTAATACCGTCTCGTCAACAGCTTCGGCTTCTTTACTTTCATTTTCCCAATCAGGCAATTTGTTTAAAATTTGTGAGGGATCAAAGGGATATATCCCTGTTTTTGTAAAACCAGAAATAATGTTAGGTAGGTCTGTTTTCTTTTAAATGGTCCATGATTTACAAATAATTTGGGGAAACAACCTTTTGGAATGGAAGATTGATTTCTTCCATCAGTTTTCTTCCACTGTAAAATTATATTTCTCCACGCTATCTTCATCGGTCTGAAGAAAGCAACATCGAGTGGTTGGGTAAGATGTATGGAATAGGCTGGTAAGAAAATAAAAAAAATTTTTTGCCATTTTTTTATCAAATCTATTGATAGGTGTGATGATAAATTGTCACCTATCTAACACTTTTACCGGGTTTTTTTTTTTTTCTAAAAACGGAAAAATCATGTTGTTTACCCAATCGTCGAAAATATTAGTATCAAACCAGCCAGATTGAGTTCTATTGTAACGCGCTCCTTTTGGGCCAAGCCACTTTGTACAAGTATCATATAAGTTTTGAGCCTTATAAACTACATATGGGGGTATCATTTCTTCTGCAGCCGTACAGGCTAACATGATTGATACAGCAGTCTTTGAAGAGTTCATAACCCTTTCAGGATATTTTGTTCCTCTCTTGGTAATTTTTTTTTCGGCCAGGATCATCTGCCAATGATGTCTGGTTTCATCATAATTTATGATATTTTCTATCGGAACATCACTGATCGAAGTTTTTAAATGTTGGAAATACTCTTCAATGACCTCTGAAGAGATTGCAAGTTTGACTATTTTTTATATTTCGGGATATCCTCTGGGATATCTTATCACCTTGCCGTTTTAAAAACTTCCGGCGAAATATGGCCTAGGCATTTTGTCTTAAAACCCATTTTTCGGTCACGCCTAATTTGTCCAAATAATTTTTAACGAGAAATCTTAAGTCGTACAGTTCCAGAGGATATCCCCATTGAGCACAAATATTAATATATTTTATAAATGCAAGATACGTCTCTTTTGACAGTACTGTCTGGCCTCCTTGAGTCTTCATATTTTTTTAGATCCCAAACTTTTTTGCCACTACATTTAAGGAATCTTAACTCTCATTGTATTCGCGTACAGCTTGCTCAATAAGTTCCTTTGTATACTTTTTATACCTCTTGCTACGAGGATCCGGCTTGTACACCTTTGGCATGGCGTGCGCAGCGTGAAGTATTCTGTATCATATAGATATGAATTAATTATAAAATTATTTATTTTAACTGTGGTAGAGCCACGTAACAGCTTAGCTGTTGCACGGGCAGGCTCGTCCGGGTAAGTACCACGACCTCACAGAAGATCGGTGTGAAGTGAAAGTATAATACTTTCACGTTTCATCTGGTGAGTAAGGTAGCCGTGGCCCAATTTTCAAAAGTTTGTCAACGCATCTGCAACCCTCGCGAGTAGCAGATGTCTATGGCCGGCGGTATTCGCTTAACATCAGATGAACTGCGTGCTCGCTTGGCAACTTTTCACATAAAAAATATATTTATTTAAATCAAACACAGTTTATTAATTGATGTTAGATCCACACAGTCCACTTACAGTTCAATTTAATATCTATCTCAGAAATCAACTAAATACTAAATTACCCAAAGTCGTTGAAGATAAAAACACCCAAATTTTACGTTTGAAACAGAACACTATTAAACAAGTTTCCTCGATATTTTTTAGAATTTTTAAAAGCACGGTACCTGATGAAATTTACACGAAAACAACACGGTACCTCGATTGACAACCCTAAAACTGATACCCCTTTTTCGTCTCTATTAACCCCTCTCTCCTATTCACCAAAGGGGTGTTTGTTGAGGCTTTGTGTCTATTGACCTTAAAGGCGTTTCTAATAACCCCCTACACGTATCTATTCACCTCGAATTAATGAAAAATTACCAGCGTCCTGATCTTACTAATAAATAAGAACAAAATGATTGAATATTGATACTTACCTTCGTGTCGCAATAAGATGATGAAGAAACCTAGCGATCGTATTGTATTATACAAATAGAGAAGGAGATAACACTGAAGAACTATATGTTTGGAAAAAGTTTTTACACAGTCTAAAATCACTAGTATGTAGACGTTCACTTTAACCGCTATCTTCTTTAAGTTCTTCAACTTGACGTAAATTTTAGGGTTGTCACAATAAAGAAAATATGCTGCCATATAATTTAAAGTAGAAATAAAAATACGTAAGCAGACCATAGACCAACTAGAGATAACATTAACAAATTCCCAGATTGGTTTCTATTCACCCCATTTTACAGTACTACAAAACTTTTGGACTTTGTAAGTTTGAAGCTGGAGGAATTCCAAGACAGATTTGGATTGACTGTGTGAAGAATGATGTCTGTGAAAGGATAAGAATAAAGGAAGATAATGTACAGTTTTCGAAAGTGCCTTAACAGGAATCTAGTTCTAAGTTTCTAAGTATTTTATATATCCCATGTTCTTGCTGGTTAAATAAATGATTTATCCATTATTATTTGGGCGATATTTGTTTATTTTCTCGTCTGGTTGGGTTTATAAATAAACATAAACATATAGATATATATTTTATATACTAAATAATAATAATAATTCTAGAAGTCTAGATTAATAGTATGATAGTCTAGAATAATAATAATAATAATAATAATAAAGTCTAGATTAGCAATAATTTTCGTTTTTCAATTCCAAATATTTTAAAATTTTAGACAAAGGTAACTTGAAATAAATGAATAAGCAATTTTCCATTAAGGAAATGGGAAAAATACTTTAAATGTCAATACCAAACAATTAACTTATTTGTCAAGTTTCTTACATGGTCTTTGCATTTTACTTAAAACCTAAGTATTTTAATGTTTATGTAATATGTAATATTTGGCACAAAAGTAAATTATATATGTGTACATATACCTGTGTTTAACTGTAACCTGAAGTATGGCAAACCGTAAGATTTTCCACCAAAACCCAAGGTTTACCAACTTTGAATGGTCCAAAATGTTCTAATAATATACGGTTCACGGTATATTACAAAATTATCACCAATAACGCCTATTATATTATATATATATATTAAACACCCGGACACTAGATAAATCACTGCGCCAATAGGGTCATAAAAGTTTATACAAATTTAATGTTGAGTATTAATTAATTTGTCGGTTTTTGTTTCAGGTCTTCAAGTAAAAGAAGTTAAGTGAAGCAACTAAGTTTATGTAATAAATAATTTAATAAAAAATTTATTGTTTTATTTAAGTAAGTGCCAATGAAGTCAGTATATATTAGAAGTTATTAGGAATTTTGATTACAGTTTTAAGACTTATCCAACTATTATTTAATTTTGTTAAATGCAAGTGTTTATATTTGTACATTTTTTAATTTCATTTACACTTCATAGAGCTAAAAATATGAACTTTTAAGCTAACAGCTTCTGAGTGTTCTTAAAAATTGGTGTAAATTATTATTATTCTCTGGAAATGGATTGATGGTAGGCCAATTTCTGTTTTTTAGTTTTATTAATGATTTGTCATATGTGGTGGAAAAAAGGTCTCAAATAGTTTTGTTTGCGGATGACACTTCACTATTGTTTAAGAGTTAAAAGATGATACACTAGAGCAACGAAAAAAAAAGAACTACTAGGTGTTTTGTAAGGCTGGTTTGCTACCAATAATTGACTTTGAACTCCACTAAAAAATTATTAGATTTACTCCTCAACGTTGTCCCATCAGTCGGGAAGCATAAAGCTTCCACTTTACGCCGGTCTTAGCGACGGCGTGGTACTACCCCGGACGGGCCTGCCCATTCGTGCAACAGACGATTCTGTTGCGAGGCCCTACCACGTTAAATAGGGTACTACATACTATCAATATCTAAGGATAGTACGAAACGCTAGAACGATTAACGATGACTTACCGTGAATCAGGATTGGATTTATGTGCGGTAAAAATATAGTAAAAAATTTTTTAAAGGATAGTATTTGGCAAAAAATTATAGTGCACTATTTTTTCATAATTAATGCACAAAAAATAAGTTATTTTACTCAGAAATTCGCAGAAAATTCTTATCAGTTTGAATCGTGAATAAGAATAGGTCGATAACGTGATAGCTCAGTGTCCGGGCGCCCGCCTTTAATTCAATATACTTTAGCAACCTGAGTTCTATCTCCGGTGCCGGCACCGATGAAGTTTTAACTTTAAATGCTGACTCATCACGTTCCCCGCGGTGAAGGAAAACATCGTGAAGAAACCTGCATATTTTCGAAATAATAATAAAAAAATATATATTTTTCAAAGATATGAGAAGTTCGCCAATCCGCGGGGGGCCGCGTGGTGTGAATTATGCCCTGATACCCTCTGTATAGAGGAGGTCTTTGCACAGCAGTGGGACACTTATGAATTCTATTATTTACTCCATTGAGTGCAATGTGCAAAGTGACTGTTTGAGAAAGCGGAATATAGAAAAAAATGTGCCATTCACGCTCACGGGAAGTCCCCGTTAATTGTTCATCGATGACAACTATTTATAATCTGTGTTAATAATAGACAATGATAAAATAGTTTTTCAATGTCGGATATAATTACAACCAAAGAGAATATAACAACTACGTTTAATTGATTACAACGTGATTACAACCCAAAGAACTTCTTTTAATGTTGGATTGGCAGTGAATGGTATAATATTGGTCATTTAGGTAAAGTAATGAAATTATAGTACGTTTTCGTACTATCCTTAGATATGGATAGTATAGTACAAATACTATAATTATAGTACAAAATCCTATCCTGCTGTGAATGGTACTTTTTTCGATTTCAAACTAACCCATGTCTCTAAGGCGTGAAAGCTTTATCAAATATTAATTATAAAACTCTAAAAGTAAAAGTTAGTAAAGTACAGTTACTGCTTATAAATGTCCCACTGCTGGACAAAGCCCACCTGTGTACTGTGAGGGTTTTAGGGCATAGTCTACCACGCGGCGCCACTGCGGATTGGCGGGCGGGCTTTACATATTTTTTGTTATTATTCCGTAAATATGCAGGTTTCCTTAAGACGTTTTCCTTCACCGCTGAGCACGTGATAATTTAGCACTTAGAATTAAACATTTTGTTAGTGCTGGTGCCGGGATTTGTACTCGTGTTGCTCGAGTATATTCAATTAAAAGCGAGCGCTCGGACACTGAGCTATCACTAGACATCTTTGATATTCAGATATTTGTCTAATGATGTATGATCTTCATTTGCCTTTTGGGTGAATATGGGAGGTTATTCCAAAAGCAAATGTTAATGCACGAAAGTCCTCACACAGTCGCCTCCGCACACACACAGAGGCGTCATCTGGCGACGACCAAAATAACAAACGGCGAGGTAATCAGGCGCCCAACTTCTGCCGCTCTTTATGGTAATTTCATTTTCAATATTGTCGGCGACAGTCGCCGAGCGGTGTTAACTGCCTCGCAGAAGTTCTCTTCGTTATTATGCTAATGCGTTGGCCTCGTGCTCGGCGAGCGTTTATTTCAACGAGACCGAGTTGTTTCGCTAAGTAGCTTTACATATTTCTCCAAATTTTTGAGACATACGGAATGACTCAATCGGCGATTGTTCAATTATTAGCAGTTGTTCAGTATTATTTTCTACCGCCTCAATTGGATTATGTCCATACCGTCTTTGCTATAGTTAAAATTGATATGTCTTCACCTCCATCCAAATCCAAAAACGTAATGGTTGCCGTAATATCAAATTGTAATCTTTCTCTTTATAGAATTGCAAGGTGTAATGCGTGCGTTGAGGAGACAAACTATTTGATAAGTACATTAAATTTAGCGGTTTTGTGGTCGTTGTTAAGTTCTTCCACATTCAAAGCGATATTTCGCTATGATCTATAGCCAAAGGAATTTCGTTGAGGCGAATCCTCCCGTCTTTTAATCCTAAGGAAATAGGGTGTCTGCTGCTGTTCTTCTTTAAAATCACCGACCATAAATGTAAGACTTTATACGGAAATAACTCATCGGTGCAAGCCGCAGGCAGGCATGTTCGTAATCTTATGATAAAATTCCATCATCCCAAACACTAGGTTTATGATTGATGTATCTTTGATTACGTGATATACCCACTGAAATTGCTGATATTTATGTAATTAAATTCTGACAGCGTCGAATTAAATAAGAGGTCACGCTGTTGACTTTCATTTGATCAAACTGCTGCGTTGTAAAGATGAAGGTGAAAGTAGGTCCACACGTGCGTCGCGCACACTACTTGCCGGTAGCCAGAGTAGGCCTAATGAGCCCACTCAGAGCGGCTCTCCCGGGACAGCCTTACTCCGCAGATCAGCCCAGTTTGGGCTCCTCTTGGCTTCACCGTGGGCAACCAAGCCACGGCTACTAATACTCTCCGCTATCAGAAACGTAGATAGAAACCCGGTAGCAGGGGAATCCCGGACGAGTATGTCTATTCGCGTAACCGCGAAATATCTAACGTGGCTCTGTCACATTGAAACTCTCTATTATTAAGAAAAGGCACGAGGAAAATTGTCAAAAGGGTGTTGCAGTTTCACGATAACATTCTTGTGGTGACAATGTAAAAAAGTTGATAAGGCGACAGTCATTACAACATAGTACATTTGAGATTCTGGGTGCCCTCGCTTCAGATCAGATTAGGTATAATTTCTACATAGAAGTTATATAGTGTGCCAATAGAGCTGCTCAAACATGCAGGTTGTGAGTACCCTGTGGATGCTCACAAACCATTATATCTTATTTGATAATGATAACTTTTAGGTCCTAAGAACACATGGTGGGTGAGAAAAGAAGATATAGATAGAGAAAGAAAATCTCATTATTATTAAAATTAATTTGTGACCAATTTCCACTCAAAGGTCTGCTGGAAGAAATGTTTAAGAAGAAAGCAGGACCTTTGTACAAATCTTTTTATTTAATTGTATTTCTTTCATATACTCTGTGTACATTAACAAGATTAAATTTATCTAAAATTACATATTATCTAATAAACCTAATCCACGCGGCATGGTGCCAAGAACGCTAGCTGCATTTCCTCACTGAATAGTTATGCTTAACCTTTGAGCGAGAAAAGAACCAGCTCTCTTGTCACCAGCCGCGGCGTTAAGCCTAGGACATAAACTTTAAAAAAAAATTGATGTGCGGGGACCCCACGGACCTAAAGTTTCAACAGCAAATGACACAAATACATAATCTAAACATAAAGACTCATACTTGCGCCATTTACTTATTTCAGCTGCCTCCAATGGCGCCCCGGCCCTTACCGAAGTACCCCTTAGATAAGAGGCAGCCAAAGTGTCTACACAAGTGGCGTCCCGAACAAGGGCTTTGCCTCTCTCCCAAGGGATCAATGTTAAACCGTCGGGTCTCTTACCATCGTCGCGAAAAATGCCACAGGGCTCTAAAATAGATGGAACATTGATGGAAACAAGATGCCCTACGGATGATGTCGTTCAGGGAACCGTGGCGGGAAGAACGGCCAGCACTTTTTTGAAAAGAAAGCCCGTGGAGACCAAATTTGTGTACACTGACACCACAAGGGCATTGGTGTAGTTGACAAATCGGTGCCCCCGGATGGATTCCTACAGCAATGCGTAAGCTTTCATCGTCAAGTAATGTGCCCAAGTTACTTGATGGTAAAGCGTGAAGCCAATAACTCGATTATTTTGATGAGACGTCTAGGAAACGGGCACGCTCTAAATTACTTTCTAAAGATTGAAACCTATCTCTCTGTACTCTCCGCACCAAAGTAACATCCCACTGTTTTTGTAGGTTTACTTCCAGTGGGATATTTTTGTTGGGTAGACAGCCAACACACGACAGCAAGGAAGGCAGGTAGAGCGACACTAGACATTTTCCTTACACCGATACCACCAAAACGAATTGGCAGCGTAGCTTGAGTCCAGCTTAATTCATTAAGACATAAATTCAGAATTTTTTCTAGAGCTGATTTAAGATGGAAATCAATTTCGTTCAAAAAGTCACCGCGTTTCCAAACTGGACTCGAGCGAAGGAGGTACGTAAATTTAGGTACAAGAATACAATGTCTCAAAATAGTAAGCGCAATATGCGAATTTAGTAAAAACAATTTATTAACATGATCTAAAAATTGATTTAACTTTAATTTTAAATGAGGTTCCAAACTTGGTATCAACAAAGGAGCACCTAAGAGGTAAAGTGAATCTGAACGGACTACGTTAATTCCCGGTATGAAAGACCTAAAATTTTTGGTCAAAATGATTTTGTCGGAAAAAGAAATCTTTTCGGAAAAGAAAAGTTCACATTTGGAATTATTTAAACCGAGACCGATATTTTTAAATTGTCTAATAATTTCTATAAGATCACTTTGTACATCGTCAACTTTACCTCCCAGCGTAACATGGTCTAGGTACCAGACATTAAGTTTAGATTTCAATTTTGAAATAATTGGATGAATTCCCAAACTAAATAATGCTGGTCCTAGCAAGGAGGAGCATTATTTAGTCATTTTTTAGCATCGTATTCAGCAAGGAAATGCAGCTAGCGTCCTTGGCACCATGCCGCGTGGATTAGGTTTATTAGATAATATGTAATTTTAGATAAATTTAATCTTGTAAATATTAGATCAATAAAGTTTGTAATAATTAAGTACTCTGTGTACATTAATTATAAAATAAATAAATAAAATTAATGAAAGCACATCGGAAGACACCAAGATACTGTAGGGATCTGCGGAGTCGACTGAATCAAAGTAAATTATCAATGAACTAACGGTACTTAGTGTCAACTTTGACGTAAGTATGCGAAACATCACGCGTACTGTAAAGCTTGCATTTAGTAAGGGATTAAAAAAATGCTATAAAAATTTAAATATTACTAGCAAAACGCTGATCTTTGTGAGGCCTCGCGTAATTTTTCTAAATGGTAATAATTTTTAAAAACAGTTTTTTAAAATTATTATTTCTGATATGAGCTTCGGGCCCATGTCATATTTGCCGAAGTAAATAATTAATACGACCAATCATTTTAGATATTTTTTTATTTATCAAACATTGTTTAGTACTTATATTAATTCTGTGACATTAGGTTATTAATAGGTATTTTCACTTTGAAAATTAAATTATCATTTTCTGGATGCAAATTGATGATTTAGCAATTATATTCAATCAAATTGACCACCTTTAAATCGATATACTTTTTTTTTGATAAACTGGAACAAATGTCTACGCATACCTGCCCTCGCGGGGGCAAGAGCGGGTTATGTCGGCCTATCACCGACTAAAACCCCAACGATGTTCCACGTAGGCACGTATCGGCAGTAGGAAGGCGCGCTGGAACATTCAGCGCGCCTTCCTACTCGGCTGTCATTAGAGCCAGGAGAGCCAGTAAGCAGCAAGCCTCCCATCCCCCAGCGGCGGACCTGCTCTGTGGCTCCGCGGCTTACCATATTTCGGCCGCGTAAGGTAGGGGGAACGGTACACCGCAATACCGACACTATCCTCCCATCGCAACTCCTACTCGGAAGTAGAAGACAGGAAGAGTGAATCCTCTTCTACCACCCTCTACCTATCCCCTGCACCCTCCAGCATGCCCCCAGAGTTGGCTCAATGAGCCCACTCGAAGTGGCCCTGTCGGGCCGGCCTTGCATAACAGGCCGGCTTAGTGTGGTTTCCACTTAGCTTCGCCCGGGGTGACTAAGCCCGGTCGGAGGAGCTTGGTCACGTCAAGGCTCCGCCACTTCAAGGCGGGACCTCCATGTGGCTGAAGGGTTTAGTAGCGTGCAATTTACCGCTGGGTGCTGGGAGGCTTGCTGCTTATTAGCACTGGCTCTCCTGGCTTCCATTGCCCCGGTCAGCGAACTCGAGGGAGTTCGCTGGCCGTGAAAATGGGGCCGAGTAGGAAGGCGCGCTGAATGTCCCAGCGCGCCAGTGGAGGAGAGGGAAGTTGCTCACCGGGGGGTGGGCTGCTGAGGCGGCCAGCGCTGGCAGGGTCGCAGAAGTGTGCGAAAGCGTTCCCGTGACCCTGTCGGTATGCGCCTAGGTGGAACATCGTAGGGGTTTAAGTCAATAAATATTAAAAAAAAAAACAAATAAATTTTTTTTGGCAGATAACACATCTAGATATGAAGTTAAATTACTGTGTTAAGGCATAAATCTATAGACCTGATAGTTTTTCCGTAAAGTGTACCACAAAAGTGCTCAGATTGTCGAATAGTGTTAGGACTCGCTTCGCTTGCCTTAATAAAACAAGGAATAATTTGTTGATTACCTAGAAAACATAAGATATAATCAGCAGAATATTGGGTTATAGTTCGGGTTTCGTAAAATCTTTTTCGGGTAAGAGTAATTTTACATTACATGTTTTTATATTTTATTATACAAATAATAATTATTTAATTTAATTTTAAAAGTATATAATTTATATATATATATATATATATATTTAAACATTTAGTATGCCGCAAATCAATTATTTTTATTCCGAAACAACCACGCGAGGAAAAATGCGCGCGAAATCAATTAATTTATTAATCAAGAATAAAATCAACATTCAAATATTGTACTCAGTTTCAGTCTACCTGGTTATAGTGCCCACATTCTAAAACTATTTCTGCCTACGACGTAGCACTTACTCGCCCAGATGACTACGGCGTAGCACGCGTGATATATCGGCACATGAGCACTTTGTGAGCAGGTGAGCGGCGTCCGGCCACGGCGCCCGCCCTCGCGAGCCGCTCACGGCTCTCGGCGGTGTGCGGACTGCGGACTCAGTCAGTGTGCGCGCGGCCGCCGCAGCGGACGGACCTGTCGCGAACGTCAGCGGTGTGCTACGAGCGCCGCGGTACGTGCGCGTAGCGATGTGCGAGTGCAGTGCGCGGTCCTAGAAAAGTTTTTAAGTGAACGTTTGTAAGTAGAGCATCTTGCATTATTTGTGATTTATTGAAGAATTTACCACCGTGACAATCCCTTGTAACGTTCGTATTATACGCAAAAAATCAATTGGGTATATTCTCTACGATAAAAACTATTGCAATTATATCAGTGCAGTTCCAAAGTTTCGTTTTATGTTTTAAGATTTAGTTAACCGAGTATTTGATCGCCCTATTCGGGGTAAGCTTCTTGTTTATTAATTTTGGATATCACTGTTACGTTAAGTTTATAGTGATATACTTCTTAAGCTATGAAAAGCCTATAATGGTTAATACAAAATATAATTAATTTCAATTTCAAGGAAAATAATAATAATTTGGCGTTTGACTGATAGACGTGAAATACGATTACAAGAGAAATAATTAATTCAATATCAAAGGCGTTTAATAAATTTTATATTTACATGTTGGTCTAATCTCATTCTGAATTTATGTTAGTGTTAATCATAATTTGAATTTGGCGATCAAAATGTATTTGTGAAAGTTAGTGTGTAAAGATTGAAAACTCTAGTTTAGTTACAAAATTGTCATTCGCTTCACAATGCTTATAGAAATTGGTCACGTGAATTAACGCGGTAAATCATTAAAAATAGTTCAATTTATGGTTTAAAGTCAATTCCTAAGAATAAATTTAAACTTGTTTATTTATTTAATCTTTATTGCAAACTTTTTATTTATTTAAGACTTAATGCCCAAAGCCATTCTCTACCAGTCAACCCAGGATGTGGTGAGAGTTTATGGTAGGTGCAGCAAAAGTGAAAACTTATTCATGCTATGCTAAGCTACAATTTATGAAAATGACGATAAACATATGAGACCCCTAAATTTCTTCGAGATTCAAGTTTTTTTTGAATTCAAATGTACCAGATTCAAAAATTCAAAATTTGACCACATTGAAATAAATATTATTTATAATAACATTATGTCATGATTGGCATTTGAAGACACTTCTGTGGGCCATGAGGCATTGATGCGCAATTTATATGCGGGAGTATGCGGAGGGTAAGACATTTCTTTTCGTTCTGTAATCACATAGACATTTATATAGTGAAGTCCTTGTTAATGCGCCTTTACTATTATCTTCTATGTAAACACTTGTTAATATAATAAGCAACGTGGAAGTAGTGGGTATTGCTAGACAGATAGACATTAGAACATTTATGTTATATTCTAAATATAACTTTTTGCAAGCGGTTTCATACTGCACTTCCCTCTACATATGACCATGTATGTACAACACTGCGACAAAAGGCAATGCTTTCTGTTAGTGTTAATTTTATCTGTCTGATCAATTCTGACCATCCCAAGGTCGGTGGTTGTCTCTGTGCAATCCGTATGGCTGCAAGGCAATGCTGCGCTTGTCCAGTGGAGGAATATGTTGAGGTTCACGGACGTACCTTTGATGGAGTTTTACGCGACTTAGCCATCTTAGGCGCCTAGCGGATCGGATCGTCGCCGAAACTAATTACGTCAATTTTATGTCGCCCTTGGCCACGGCTGAGTGGCGGGACGGTTCACAGTACACACACGGAGTCGCGAGTACGCGACGACCTAATAAAATCGTTTTATGTGTCTGCGAAGAGCTAACTTACACACGAGCACGTTGGAACTGTTTTTATAACAGCTATTAAAACTGAAAAATACAACAATGGCTTTCGACGTAAAACAATGTTGGTTAAAATTGTGGTGGGAATTGGGAAACGCATTTTCAACCCATCAGGTGTTGCAGATGTCCATGGGGAGTGGTAATCACTTTAAGTCAGGGACAACTGCCTGCTGGCCTAATATATTTTTTTACATTTCCCTTTATTCAGTTCTTACATTCATGTAAAATCGTATATAAATATAGATTTTATAATTCGTTCTGAAATGTAAGTGTTTCATATGTAAGTTGCAAATAATTGATGAGAACGATCGTACTAAATATAGTTTGTTGCTTACGTGAATTAACTGAATAATGAGAATAAAATAATTTTGGTGAAAAATCTTGATTTAAGACAGGTGATTATGAAATCAAAATCAAAATCATTTATGCATCGACATTAGAAACTTACATTTCACCTATCGATAGTCATATTTTTTTTTTAAATCTACCACCGTTTCGTAATGAAGTTTTTGGCACCGTCTAGATTAGACCAATTTGGCGGTTCGCAACAATTTGTTCGTTGGTCTGCAGCCCTGTTATATCAGGGCCGATAAGATGTTACAAATGAAATACGCGCGTCTCCAAACGAAATGGGACGCGGTCTGGAAGTGGAGGAGGATGGTGGAGTGAAGAGTGTCGGATGGGCAGGGAGAGGCGCGCGTCGGGCGGTCGGGCAAAGTTTAACCACCTTATTACGTTTATCTCATCCAGCGCTCATAATTAAGGCGAGGTTTTACGATGGACTGGAAACAATTCTCCTCCGCGAAGGAGGAATTAAGGCGTTACTTTAGCATTTGGGGGGCTCAATTACCGCGAGTCGTTCGGAGGCGCCGTTATCTCGAGGAGGGCCGTGAAACGTAAATACTGCTGAGAGCACTCCGTCCCCGGGATTCCGTCTACGAAATATTGCTGTCGTTTTCGCTGAAGGAAGGGGCTCAAAGAGAAATATTATTTCAAAAGCTGGCCTTCTCTTAAAAGGTTTATCTGCGTGGAAGTGTTTCCTTATGCGTTATTTTTTTTTAACTAAGAACAGTGATCCATCAATCGAAGCAGGTGTTTATTCGTGATAAGATTCTAGTTTTTTAAATTTCAATTTATAAATTTTTCTTGTTCCTTTGATAGTTTTTTTAAGCGAAGAAGCGTATAGAAAAAAGTAAAGTGTATAATATACTGAAGCCTAGTAAGACTAGTAAGTCTTCAGTATATTATACACGTATTAGTAAGGACTTACTTAATGTTCATAGTTGGTTGAAAATAATGCGATTTGAATGAAGAAATATATCCATTTACATCGGTATTTTTGTTATATGTAACAATGGTTATATCACTATTTTTGAATGTGGATATTACATTCCCATTCATTAAAACATTTCATTTCACGCTGTTCATTTGAAATCGAAGTTTTAACTAAAAATATCGTTTTCGGTCTATCAGTGAATGGATTAAATGGATACAAAGTCTGGTCGATGGAAGTGAACCGAACAGAATTCGAAAATTGTTTTTGATGCAGTAAAAGGCACGGCTTAACGCCTGTTAAAAGCTATTGGCGCAAGTGTGTTTGTTCGTCCTCTCTCCGCCGCACGCGCGAAGCTCTCTTATTTAGCGCCAATAATTGATGAGGAATAAATATTTAATAACGTTTGATAATATTTTATCACACGTTTTACCATCAGGTCTGTGTGTTACATGGAGTGACTGAGTGGAATTTCCAAATAAGCAGCTCAAGTTTTTATCAATCCTTATTTCCTTATTTTTTAACAACTGCTTGTTTACATTGACATAGTGCTTTCGGAGCTACGAGTTTTCGTTTGATAACTTACCCATGAATTTTACAAAATGTACAATGTGGTGATTTCGCTTACGTTAAGACTTATGCGACGAGGTGGTTTAAACTCTGTCATGTGTCGATAGTGACTCCCTTTTGGGTGGTAGGTGCGTTGCCAACGTCGTGTACACAGAGAGACAGTCACTATAGGATAGTACGGCGTCCACGGCGTAGTCACTTAGTCGCAGTTTTAATTAAAACGCCGCGTGCAGCGATCGGTTCATCGCTGAAACAAAAATAAAAATTTCGCGAACGGAAATTGACTCAACAAAAGCTCGAAAATTGCCTTCAGCTTTCGGTGCAGATTGTTCAGTATGCTTTGCGATTTACTATGTAGCTGGCATGCTTATTGCACTAACTAGTTCTTTATGATGATGTCGTGAATGTCGTCAATGAATTTCTCAAGTCTATGTTACAGTGATAATTATGATGTTCATGAAAACTTAATTATCAAATTAAGTAAATATGATTTTAAGATCCATAACTAATATATACTCGTAGCGATAGCAAGTTTCCTCTAAAGCAAATAATTTAAATAAATCACTATTGTAAAATTGTGTTTTGAATAGAAAAAATATTTCAGATGAAATCTAACTGAAAATTTTATAAATACACAGGTTTCGTAGGGTAATAAAATATTTAGTAAATTATTATAGCCCTACGATCAATAATGGTCACAGGAAATGTTAAAGCTTTGACTGACACATGAGTTATTCTCATTAAATATTAATAGTTCGAAAGTGACACTTTGTCCTATATTTGTGTTCAAATAGAAAGTAGGTTCTAACCTTTGCTCGCTGTCGAGCAATAGAAGCGGCGACAGGGCTGGCTTGGGACCGCGCAGGCCGGTAACCAATTACGAAGTTTATTATGATTGCGCGGGTGTGACGGACATGTTTTCATAATTATGTATGTTGGCCCTATAATTGCTTAGTGAAACTTTCTCTATTGTATTCGATGTTATAATTATGTGTCTGACGTCATGAAGCTTAGGTAATTCATGCATATCATTCTAATTGTAACTATCTGTTATTGTTATGTTAGAGGGATTAATTTTGTAAATGGCCAAATCGTGGCAAATTAATACTTCGTACTGCAATAAACTTCCCACTGTGGGTCAAGAGAAATGGATTTAAACTAGTTAAGTCAGTACTAGCAGTCTATTGCTATCCTGTCGCTTTGTATAGAATTCTCATACACCTATAATATGCATTTATGCCTTTGTGGTAAAATAAAACTATGATGCTTCGATATGCAGACTTCCATTTTCTCTCACGAAATTAAGTACTAATATTATATTAAGTACTAAGTAATCTGTACTAATATTATAAAACTGAAGAGTTTGTTTGTTTGAACTCGCTAATCTCAGAGACTGTTAGATAGCCCATTTATTGAGGAAGGCGTGTTTTTACGTACGACATAAATGTAGCACATGCGGGCGGAGCCGCGGGCGAAAAGATAGTTTTGAATATGACGTCAGTTGGTGAAGTCGTTTGCAAGTTCTAAATCATTATGTTTCGAATACATAAGGTTCGGGAAAAAGTTTTAATTGATGAGTATCTTGTCGTTTTAAATAGATTTTCATTTTGTATTAAAAGAATGCAGGTTGATTCTTATACGAAAATCCCTTATCGCATAAAGTTGTACGTTACGACTTTCGGCTCCTCTTCGATTTTTCCTCTCGTGGAACAAATTATCAACCAATTAACAACGCGTAAACTGGTCCCAGAAAGGTGTTTTTATTATTTTATTTATGATTGATATTTGTCTGTATTTTATTGAGGGTTTTGTATAAATAACTTCATCTCACATTTTACTATAATGGAAAAGAAAATCTGAGTAACAGATTTTAAGAGAATAATTTGACTACAAGTGTACGACGTAAGTCGATTTTATTGCTTACGAATGTATGTCAACACTTTCTTGTTAGAAAATAAATTAACAGCCAATGAATTAAACAAATCGTCGAATTAAAACGATGGACCGTCTCAACGTAAGCCGCAGAACTGCAGTGATATTCAGTTGACCACTATATAGAAATTGCACAGTTTATAACCTTACATTCAGCCTACCCATGTTATCATCATTGTGTATCGTAAATCTTCACACAGTTCACAATTGAATAATGATGGTGAAATTGACTTCGTTATTGACTTAAGGACAATGAATAAATAATAGAGATTACATTATTAACACATTAACCGTGAATTGGGAATCCTGGGCCCCTGAATGTGTGCGCCGATGGCCATGTGCCAGCGCAACGCTCCCTCGCGACGCCAATCAACTGCTCGTTTGTCCCGACGCGTCACGTGATTAATCACAACGCCAAGCAAACTAATTACGTCAGGCTTTTACTGTTTTCGTATGTGGCAATGGCTGAGCGCTAATTACGAAGTTATTTATTTACGCTTTCATTTCCTCTCCCCCCATCCCACTAGAGCTCGAGAGGCCATTCAGGCCTTCGCGGTGATAACTCGCTATTGTCGCGAATTGCATTAATCTTATTGCTTCATGCTTGTGTGTGACTTCTGTATACACAAAGTACGATAATGTAATGTTCAAACAGATCTATTATATAGGTTTTTCGCGAAATTTTAACAATTTTCAACCGACTTCAAAAAAGGGGGACGTTCTCAATTCGAGTGTGTTTTTTGCGACTTCTGTCGATCCGTCGAAAGTTCAGAGGTAACAAACATCAGAAAAATACAGTCGAATTGAGAACCTCCTCCTTTTATGAAGGCGGTTGAAAATGGACTTGTTCATTTCAAAGTATAAATCTTTTATTTAAAATTTACAATTTTGCATTTATAATCAACAATATTGTAACAATAAAAAAAACAGTTGGAATTAAAATAAACGATGATTAAATAGTGCATTTAGAGACACATGTGGTAGGGCCACGCATCAGTGTTCACTATTGCACGAATGGGCAGGTCTAGGTCAATCTGGGAAGTGCCACAACCTCACAGATGACCGGCGTGAGGTGGAAGTGTTACACTTCTGCGTTTAGTTTAGCGAGTGAGGTAATCGAGGCGCACTTTATGAAACGATAGTTTCACACGACATTGTCCCGTGCCTTTTTTGCAGTGCTGATAGTGTAATTTTTAAGGCTCCATCATCACCACCACTAACGGCATTAACTAAGCTAGATAAGCTTTTTTATGCACCTCAAGAGTCTGTATACATGAGGATCTCCAATGTTTTGTTCCGTTCAAAGCAAACCGTGAAATCGCAGAGGTCGTTAGTGGCACCGGGTATGTCCTCGCTCCAGTGGCATTAAGTCACCAGCGGTCCCTCGGGTGTCGCAATGGCAGCACGTGGCGTCACCGTCACCCCCCTCCCACCCCCCCATCCCCCAACACCCGGCGGCTCCCCGTCCGAAACAGGTGCGGCCTCCAATTAGCAGCGCGTTTGACTCGGATACGACTTGAGCGTCGTCTGCAAATTACGTCGTTAAATAATTGTCATTGTATTAGTTGCCGGTGCGTTCGCACAGGTGCTGAAGTCGGTCGTTCATTTCAGCTGCACCTTAACTACGTTTTTACAAAACAAATTATGGCCTCGCCTCAATTTTCTATCCGTCAAATTGTTTTGTATCCGTCTCATCGATTTACGTGTCAAAATACAATTTTTTACATAATGATTTTTAATTTTTTTTATGTGAATAGTTGCCAAACGAGCAGACGGTTCACCTGATGTTAAGTGAATACCGCCGCCCATGGACATCTGCTACACCCTAGGGTTTGACAGATGCGTTGACAAACTTTTTGGAAATTGGGCTCCGGCTACCTCACTCACCAGACGAAACGCGAAAGTATTATACTTCCACTTTACACCGGTCTACTGTGAGGTCATGGTATTTACCCGGACGCGCCTGCCCATTCCTACAACAGCCGAGGCTGCTGCGTGGCCCTACCACCGTAAAATTATATAGTTCTCTTTGAAACCTACAATATGAAATTTCTGTTTCGACCACTCCTATATTATAAATAGTGTTCTACGACACCCAAGCTGCTATTTTTAGTTTTCGAGTAGTCATATCGTAGGAATTTCGTAGACGTAATGTGCTACGAAATTAAAATTTAGCGCTCGGCTGGATCTCGCCGAGAAGTGGTTTTAAATATTTATAATGAACTTCAAAGGAGAGGAGAGACTTCGCTGCCATGCTGCTGTGCATTATTCGCGTCTCTTTGGAATATCATATTAACGTGAATGAGGGGCTTTTGCATACGTTATTCGTGTAGAACACAATGGCATGTGTGTACTTTTGGAATTAAATGGAATGGCTGCTACGAATTAAGATAAAGTTAAAGTATAATTATCATATTATCTATATAGCGTTTATATAATTTACATTCATCACGGTGGTTTTGTGGTGTTAAAAATGATAATTAGGGCACAATTATGGATTTGAGACACCACTTTCGCTGTTGACGAAAAGCGTTAATTTTTTTTTAGTTTCTATAATATATTTTTAGTTTTTGGTGAGAATAATAAATTGATAATCTGTTATGTTAATCTATACACAAAACAAACAATGATTAGATTAAAGAATTAAAAAAAAATCCTTTATCTGGTAAATCTACTATTTTATATTTTAAATCATTTAAATATATTAAACACGCTACATAGAGATATTTTGTAATTAAACCTTCTTACCTTTTTAAAAATAAAATATCTTTAACGGATAAACATTTGCATTCTGTTCGGATTCGGATACTATGCGATTATTTTTACTAACAATACTTTATTGAAATGTTTTTTCTTTAAATAACTTAAAAAACTTGTTTTGATACAACGAAACAGAATATTTAGTGCGAAATTCTAACATACTTATTACGCACTAAAACTTATTAATATTAATCTCATCTTTTAATACCTTTCGATGAAAATAGTCGAATACCATAATACGCGGGCGAAGTGTCGACAAACATGATGATACAAGGGGGCGTTGACCGCAACAGCTACGAATACACATTGCAGCACCCTAGACGGTTGTAAGGAAACGCTCGTTGTGACTAATTAGTTTGCCATTTCCGTTGAGCTTTGTACAAGACGCTTAGTGTGGTGCAGACCTTAATGACATGCCTAAGCAACTTGTTGAGTCAACCAAGCTATTTTTACCCTGAATAGTGCCGTTTAAGTACCATCGAAAAGTTGTTGCAAAACTTTAATTGACACTGTAACGCAAATTTGAAAGCCAGAACGTTTTTTATTACCATTTTTATTACCAAAAAGTTGCAGAGAACGGGTCAGGGGTGCAATAATTATTTAGGGTCCTAACACATTTAATAATTCTTGTGTCGTGCTTTAATAAATTAAAAAGATCAAAATTCATTGTATACAACAACAAAAATAAAACAAAAGAAAATGGAGATTTTTATTTTATGTAAGAAGATGGCAAGCGAGTCCCCCGGTGGTATCTAGTTGTTATTGATAGACCTAGCAATTATGTCGACCCTTTTATTGTATAATCGAAAAAAATTTATAACTTTTTATTTATACTTTTGTTGTTACTTCTATCTAATCAAAAATCTGCTACTACTTTTGGTCCGTATTTTCATAAAGAAGTATGTACAAACATTACTTCCCTTTTTCCACTCTATCTTTGGGGCATGGAAATAACTATAAAGTAACACAATGTATATTCTCGGTTATCAATAACAGTACCTTAATAGAAATATTGCCTTTAACGTGACTTCTTATTCAACGCACATGTTATTCCGACCGCGTAGTTTGCTCCACGGAAATTGGGTCCTTATAAGTTCGGAAATTATGTTTCGCTTTCAGCCGCTTATCCTTAAGTTGCTTAGAAAATGCTGAAACCCTCACAATGGCGATCACTGTTTCTACACTTATAAGTTGGCCGGATGTTAACAGAACATTAAGTCATTAATTTTTCTGTTCTTGAGAGTTGGTGTGATAGGTTATGTTTTGTTATTGTTAACAAACTGAAAAGGCATGTAAGGATGTCATTTCACTAATTTCCCATTAGTTAATCAGTGTTTAAAGACAATGCTCTTAAAATGTTCTATAGTCAATGACGAAATTATAACAAATCACTGTTATATGAGAAATGTTTAAAGATTAAAAATAATATCGGTTTAAATAATTAACGTGGTCATCACAAAGCATCCGTTCAATGTCATCGGCATTACAAAATATTCTCGATTGAGTAATTGTGTTAAATTGATAAAATTGTACACTATCAAATACCAATAGAACTTTTTTTACATTTGTTAAATTAACATTGTTCATCACATATCATCGTCACAGAATGCTCGTTACGCGTTAACGAATTTGCAGAGCATCACTCAAATTTTGCAGCTGCCTCAAAAGAAGTTGATCGACATTAGCGAATTGTTGATTGGTCGAATCATGTTGTTATTGAGTATTAACAGGCCTGTATCAGACAAAAGTTAAAGAAGTTTAAAAATAAAAAGGTTTATCATAAATTCGATTACCAACGAGGAATAAAAAGGATGTCAACAAGAATCTTAGTTAATGTCAATGTTGACTTTTGAATCGTTTTATTTAATAGGCCATTTACGTTTTCCGCGGTCCGTTGGCAGCACCGAATTCAAATTTAAAATGATTTAGGGCGCGGTGACGCAGGTACGCGGACGTGCGCCGTCAAATTTTAATTGGTTCAGTTCCGAGCCGGCCGCGGTTGCTGCTTAGTTTGGAGAAATTTACGGCCTTTTTTGGGTATTAGCCTTTTCACACGTTTAGAAATTGTTTTCGTTAGTCTCGTGTTTTAAATTATGTTCTATGGGGCTTTAGCCTACACATAATTTTGCAAAATTACTAATCAAATTTATACGTTATTTATAAATGGTAACCTTTTTTTGGTTAACGACCTTTTTCCTGTTGTTACAATATAGTGGTTAGAGATTAGAGTAAAATGCCGGTGATCTAACCACCACTAATTACACCATAAATATAAACGTACATACCGGCGGGCTCTTTGCATGCCGTTAAAATCCTTCACCCTCACTATAAGACAATGCGCATTCGAAGTTAGTAATTACGTGGGAATAATCCCAGACGGTTATTCCATTGGTAAGAACTTTTTGTTGAGCCTTGTAGTCTCGGGAAAGTATGATAGGTTTAAGACTGACGAGGTAACTAAGAGGGACAGGGCGTCGTTCATAGGAGATTGGAACTGTTTTAGTGGAATGGCCCATATAATATGTATGTAAATTTATTGTTTGTATTGAGTACGGGGCACATTTCTTAATTGAATCTATTTCCCTCTGCGTTCCGAAACGACAGTCGTATCTATCGCTCGTAGCAGCACCGCGCCTGTGTAAATCATCGGCAACTGCAACCGCTTTATTAGCTCAGGCTTAATGACATGTCGCGCGCCAACTATTTGTTGTTAATTAACGCCACGATGCCGTAATTAGCGCCGCGGCCTCGACGTAGATCCCTGTGTTATGATTTAAAAACAGCCCTAGCAGAGAATCGCCTGTTACCAACTACGGTAATACACTCTTAGGCGCCGAGGGCATAATGATGATAATTATTTAATGTCTCTTATAAGCTATATTATTGATATTCAATTTATTAAACTCTCTCTCCCCTCTCTGCAATTATTATCCCCATCTGCTGGTGGGGTCTGCCTTCTTGGTCTTATTCTTCAACTTCGCTCTATTCGACGCGTGATCTTCGGTAACCTTGTAGGAACGTAGATCTTGTCTGACCACATCTGTCCACCTGGTTTTGGGTCGCCCTCTGGGTCTAGATCCCGGAATGTTCAGATTGGTCTCTACATTTCCTGTTTTCTGGAGGTTTTCTTTTAATATGCCCAAACCAGCGCAGCCTGCTTTCTTGAAGATTGTCGGCGATGTCACGAACTCCCCGACTACTGCGAACGTGTTCATTGCGTATCTTGTCGAGTCTGGTTACCCCGCACATCCACCGGAGCATCTTCATTTCGGCTACCTGCGTGGAGTGGGCATGGCGTTAACGCCAAGTAACGTCATACTCAAGTAACGGCCTAGGTTTCACTACCGTAGGTCATAGGATCATCGTAGATTGATTTTGCGCCCAAACGCTTTACCAATTAAATTATTAGCGGCCAATGACCTCACGCCGCGAAATTCTTTACTTCTATCTACGTTCCTTCTATTGCGTTATTAGTAATGCTTGACGTGTGCATACTTTACAGCATGCAACATTTTACAAATAACATTCAACGATGAATATATTTTGTAACGAGAGAATACTACTAAATTTCAACTATTCTTGTTACTTTTTTTTTTTTTTTTAATGTGAAAAGTTGCCAAACGAGCAGACGGTTCACCTGATGTTAAGTGAATACCACCGCCCATCGACATCTGCTACACCCGAGGGTTGCAGATGTGTTGACAACCTTTTGAAAATCGGGCTCCGGCCACCTCACTCACCAGACGAAACGCGAAAG